GAATGTGAAAGCAGCGAAAATGTCATCTACATAACGTTTACAAAAAGCTGGTTTTTCTCCGTTACATGATTTGAGCCATTTATCTTCAAAATTCCGCATAAAAATATTAGCAAAAACAGGTGCTCAAGGAGAACCAATAACAACACCATTAATTTGGTCATTAACTTGTCCTTTAAAAAAAAATGAGTTTGAGATGTTAAAAAATTAAAGAATTTTTTAAAATTGCTTTTACTAATTTTAAGATTGACTTTACTATTTATAATGTAATTGACGGCAATATGTACTTTTTCTTGTACTAGAATGTTGGTATATAAACTTGTAATATCACATGATACTAAAAAATGTTTATGCAGGATATGAAGGAAGCGAATTTCAAAGAACAGATGTTCGAGGAATAAAAGTTTTTGAAGCACTCAGGAACAGTTACAAAAAAAAGACGAAACTTAATTGAATGACGAGTAACACGAGAATGAATTTTAGTAGATGGCACAAGAGATGCTAGCTCTTTAGAGTAGTGCCGATTATAGTATTTGTAAAAAAGAGAAATTGAAGCAACATTAAGACAATATGATAATGGTTGAAGGTTAGTTGCAAGAGCAGCTCCAACTTTGTTTACAATGCGTTTTTGCACATTTTTTAAAAGAGAAAAGGCATCATTAGAAAATCCGCCCCGGATATGGCAACAATATTTCATACAAGACCGGGTTTGAGATTTATAGAAATAGAGAATAGAATCCAGAGTGAGAAAGTGTCGAGCTCGATAAACAGATGCAACTTTAGCAGATGCTAGTTTTGCAGCGGATTTGATATATGGTTTCAAAAAAGATCAGTTGTAAGATTTAATCCTATAAGATGAAGGGTAGATGACTCATCGAGTACATTACCGTTCATAGATATAGGAAAGTCTAATTTAGTGCGATATCGATTGGCTGGAAAAAAATTGAGCTTTATCTGAATTAAAGTTCACCAGCCACTGTGAGCCACATGCTGTAACAGAAGTGAGATTTTTTTCAAGCTCAAATGACACCTCTAAGCAATCTGAGAGAGTTTGCGTCTTATCATGACAAGAGTAAATGGTAGTATCATAATCGAACAATGCCACTTTAGATGTGAGAATATCTGAAATATCGTTAATGTAAATTAAAAAGAGTATAGGGCCAAGGATTGAACCTTGAGGAACCCCTGAAGTTACAGAATAAGAAGAAGAGTGCTATCCATCAAGGACAATCTTTATACTACGATTGGAAAGGAAGAATTCAATAATCTTAAACATGTTTTCAGATACACCGTAAGAAGAAAGGTTATGGAGAAGGCCAGCATGCCAAACTTTATCAAACGCTTTAGAAATGTCAAGAGCAATGGCCTTAACCTCTCCACCTTTTTCTAATGCACGATAAAACCTAGCGGTTATTAATGTTAGGAAATCAGCCGTAGAACGAGAAGATCAAAATCCATATTGATGAACGGAAAGTTAGTTGTTAGATTTAATATGAGAGATTAGATGTTTGTTAATTAAAGATTTAAAAACCTTGTTGATGATAGTAAGAAGACTAATGGGACGGTAAATAGACAAATCGGATCGCTCTCTAAAATTTTTAAAAATAGGGATAACAGAAGCTGCTTTCCAGCAGGCTTGAAAACAAGATTCTGATAAACACTTGTTAAATAGTTTTGAAAGGATAAACGACAGCTCCGGAGAATACTTCTGCAAGACTATAACAGGTATGTTGTCCGGCATGCTGTAGAAGAGTCTAAGAAGGAAATCACTGTAGATACAGAAGCTGGAGTGATACGGATGTCGAGCGATGGATCAACCTGTTTGATGGCTATATCAGGTAGAATGCAACTAGTGGAATCAGAAGATGATATTGATGAAAAGTTCTTAGCGAACAATTCAGCTTTGTCTTTATGTAAGTGACAAAGTCTGAAATATACAAAAGAGGTGGAATTACAGACTTACCTTGAGATGAAGGAGAGCAATATAGAACAAAGAAAAAGGTGTTAGAGTAAAGTGGGGCTATACGAAAGCAGATAAAAGAGTAGTCTGTGGATTCAAACCTAGTTTCCCGAAAATGGGTGAATTCTTACGAATATAAATGCCCACGCCAAGCATGTGACTTAGAGTCTTTACGAATTAAAAGGAAATAACCATCAACACTAATATCACAAGATACTAATTTGAGACAGCTGAACTTAAATTAGTCTCACAAAGAACAAATAGGTCTGGTGAACTTTGCGAGAGATAAAACTCGACAGAAGAAAAGTTACTAAGAAGGCCACGAATATTAGTCAATGATAGGTTTAGCAAACTTGGTGACGGCTGTGGTTTTTTGTGTTTTATACTTTATTCATTATTAAATTTGTTAAAAAACTTGACTCGAAACATAGATAGTGCTCAGTTCACTATTTAATATAATAAAATTATTTATTACTATTAATAAAACCCAAAGCCGTAACAAAGGGTTCCAATGTTGCCTTGGCAATTCACACCAAAAACATGGACACTATCTATGTGCAACATGACACTGTTAATACTTTGATATTTTTTAGCTGTTGATGGAATCAGTCTCTCTAAGAGCTATTACAGAGTTCGGAAAACCTGACTACCAGTCGGCCTTAGAACCATTAAACTGAGTTTTAGAGCTGTACCCTCATTAGGAGATAATAGAATGAGTTGCCAAGCCATAAAAACAGAGACACAAGCAAAACCCATGCATCAAGTCAAGAAGATCCAGCATTCAATATCCTAAACTGGAAACAATTTATTAAAAATACATCTGCGCTAACCTAATAGATGAAAAAGGGGTGCGAGGCTGGTCAACAGATAGAATCTGTTTACCCCCTAAGTCTTTGCCTAGGAGGCCTTCTACAAGATAGTAGCCGGATGCATTAAACATCTGCCCGAGATGAGTATTTTTATAGAGACATTATCTCTAGTCTTTACTCAACCAAGAGCCCCAAGGCAGGGGAATTTTATGTCGGAGTTGGCATCTCCAAGCTTTTGTCTTCAGAGACGTATCCTACAAGGCAGCAGAACATGAAGCAGATTGAACTGGGTTACATGTTACCCGAAGCAGGATAACCTGACCTGACAATAAATTCTCTAAGAAATTTAGCTAATTGATATTTATAGGTACCTATGGATATTACGATAGGTCTAAAACTTTTATTATCGTAAGAAAAAATCATCTTATGTAGTTTTGTTAGACCATGGATGCGGGGTGTACCAGAGCCTGAAAAGTATATTTTATTATAATTGAAGTCATCAAAGAAACGTTTTTTTTTGAGTTTCCTTAAAAAGTTTTGAAGTGTGTTTTTCTAGTGATAGTGACGTCCTTTTTAAGTAGTTTAAACTTAGATAGATAATTAATGATTTTGTAGAGATTGTTGTCAGAAATATTTTTTTATCTAAAACTACCACAATTTAATTAATTTAGTCAAATTATTTCAAAATTATTCGAAACAATGAAGTTCAGCGAAAAAACTAAACTCGCTGAATCGAAAAACAGAAACAATTCTTTTAAACCATTTCAAAAAAAAGACTCGAAAAAAGTATAAATCATAAATATTGTTTTATATTTTTCTATTTAAAGTTCTAAACAATATTCTGTTGATCATGATAAATAAATCATCTGATTTATTTATTATGACCAACAGAATATTGTTTAAAACTTTAATTAAATGCTTCTTAACAAATTCATCTTCAAGGCCCTCTGCTATGAAAGAGTTCAGCACTTGTGTCTTAACAAATTCGTCTTCAGGGCCCTCTGCAATGAAAGAGTTCAGCACTTTTCTCTTAAACTTATACATAGTTTAAAACCATAAATTTTTCATAAATTTTTGCAATCAGTATTTACAGTAGAGTTAATAACTACAAATTTATTTAGTGTAAATTTTAGTTTTACTTATGGAAAGGCGCCTATGATGGCATATTTAACTTTGAAGCTTTATTATTCAGTATCCTGAAGACCAAGAACAAAGTTTTTGATATGGATACATTCTCTGTTACATGTAGAGCAATAATAACCGTAAGAGTTTTCATCAGTTTAATTTTTTTATTAGTTATTTTTATTTAAAAAAAGCACAAGTATGCCATTATAGGCAACTATTGCTCCTATGATGGCATAGGGAAGGATGATGTTGGTAAGCACCAAGGATAACTTGACAATTTCATTTGACGTAAGAGTCTTCCCTCAGAAATGCCAGAAACTACGCGTAATCATCCTAATTAACCTATTTGTGCTACACAACAGCAGTGTCAAATCTCATAAGAGATATAGCACTTTATATGTCTTTTAAACCATAAATTGTTTAATGAAGTAAAAATTCCTTTTTACTTCAATAACAAGTATGCTGTTTTTATGGGGAAAAAAAAGGTTTTCTCCACTCCTCAATATTGCAACACACCTAACTCGTCAGTATGCCATCATAGGAAGAAGTCTTCCATTTCATTGAAACAAGTTATGTCTGCCTTGTTCAAAAGATAAAATCAAAGTAAGTACTCCACTAAATGCACAAAACTTGGAAATAAAATGCATGAAAATATTATTTCTGCACAGTTAATATTCAAATCACAATATTAAATATTTAAAGAGATTAAAAATACAACAGCACATGCCAAAATCAATTTTTCTTGATTATAAAAGCAATATTTGTGCATAAGGGACGTATTCTTATTAAAACTTATATAAAGTCAGTATAGATATGTTGGTTAAATTTTTTTTTTTGCCATAACCAATATTTACGAAAATATGACCAGTATGCCATCATAGGCGCTATGCCATCATAAGCATCTTTCCTCTATATTTATAATTTAATTTAACAAAACAAATTATACAAGTATTTTTGTTCCGATCCATTTGAACTTTTTTTGGCTTTAATTTAAATTATCCATTTGCTGTTATTTTTTTATTTTATGTAGTTAATTTATAGTTGACATAAAGTTTTATAAAAAGAAAAAAAGATATTAAATTTTATTTTTATTTTTCTTTAAAATTTAGAATGAGTGCAAGCAACTTAGTTCGTGCAGCCTTAGGAAATGTAGCAGCCCTTGGTGATTTGTATGATGCAAGAACAGACAACTTCCTCAAGATTTCAATTTTTAATAAGAAAATCCCAGAGGATGCCATAAATTTGACAGATAATCATTTTTCCGACATCCGTTTAATTCATTCGGATACTTATTCTGAGAAGTTTTCAAAATTTGATGTCAAAGGTGAACTGCAAGGCAGTGTTCTTGCCGGTCTTTTGAATCTTGAAGGTTCTGGTCGTTATTTAAGTGATAAAAAAACATCTGCGAGAGCAGTCAAAATTTCTCTTTTATACAACATTAAAACAAAAGAAGAATCGGTGAATATTTATGACCAAAGTTTAAAGAATTCTTTTGCTGTGGAAGCAGCTGAGTCTGAATTAGCAACTCATGTTGTTGTTGGAATTTCTTGGGGTGCAAACTCCATCTTGTCATGTGAATATTTGAACACTGACAATCGAGATGTCACTGAAATTGAAGGAAGTTTGTCAGCTCAACTAAAAAAAATTTGTATGTCATTAAAAAGTAACGCTTCGGTAGAGTTAAAAAACGGTGACAACAATATCGATCTCCATTTTGAGATACACATATATGGTGACGTTCTTCCAAGCAATAATGATTTACCAACAAGTTTTGAAGAAGCCCTGAACTTTATGAAACAGGTGCCAACTCTTGTTGAGAAATCTAATCTAGGCCGTGGAAAGCCTTTAACTTATAAATTACTTCCGCTGTCTCTCATACAAAAATATCTCAAGTTGTCTTTGAAAGCCGACAGTTTTATTAAATCTCTTGAAGAAGACAGTCTGCTAAGAGTTATTTATCTTTTTGAAAAAATTACTTTAACCAAACAGGAAATACACGACTTCTATCAAGACACCATGAACCACAGGTTTTGTATCCAGAACACAGACATTGAGATGATCACCGCAATTAAAGAAGAATTTGAAATTCAAGAAACTAAATTTCGTTCTAAATTTGGTTCAACACTGATTGCTTTAAGATCTGGAAATGGAAGCACATTAGAGTTTGAAAAACTTTTAACAGACTATAAATCTGGAGATTTTTCGCCTGAAAAAGTTTCTACAAAACTTGAGAACTTAAATCACATTTCAGAAAAAATATTATTTGCAGATTCCTTGATATCAAAAGGAGCAAAATATTTTGGCAAAAAGGGAAACTTTGAAAATGTTATTTTTGATAATAAAATAGCCAGATTATATATTCTGTATTTTAACGAAGACTGTAAAACATCTCAAATCGAAAAATGGCATAAAAACATAAAACTTTTCTATCAAGAAATGACAAAAGGTATAAAAGAAGACATGTTTTGGGCAGTGGATTGTGACATACATCCTAACTTATGGCCTAAGATTGGTGTTTCAATTCAGGTTTTTCAAAATGGTCAGGTTGTCATTGAGAACATGTTAGAAGCATCTGCAAACACAGCATATGCAAGATGCACTTTGACAATGAATCCCATCTTTTCTCAACCTAATAATCGAGTTTATTTAGTAATTCCATGCACTGGAAAAAAATGCAAATCCGAGATAGAGCATGAATGGGTGTGTCCAACATGTGAAAAACAGATCGAGTATGGGTTTGATAATCAACTGTATTGCTTATGTGGTTATGGTGATGCTAGTTGTTACGAATTCAAATGTACTGACAAAGAGCATGGGAATGGTTATGATTTTCACGTGGACAAATATTATGTTAAACGTCATTTCTTGCAGCGAAGACTACAAAAAGAAATAAATATTTTAATTATAGGAGAAACAAGAGTTGGAAAGTCTACCTGGATCAATGCGTTTCAAAACTATTTAAAGTTTCTCAGCCTTCAAGAAGCAGAAAAAAAAGATCTTTGCAGTTTAATTGCTTCTAAGTTATCTATATGTGATGAAAATTATAATGGTATAACTATATATACTGGAAAAGACGATAATGAAGTTTTTATAACAGGACAGTCAGCCACAAAAAAGAGCAAAGTTTACTCATTTATAATTGACGACACTAAAATAAGACTAATTGACACACCTGGGTTAGGTGATGCCAGAGGAATTGACCAAGATAGAATCAATTTTGAAAACATTCTTTCAACTTTGTCATACTTAAATGAGCTGCATGGAATTTGCGTTTTTTTAAAAGCAAACAACTCAAGATCAAATATAACTTTTGAGTTCTGCATCAATGAACTACTGACCTATCTACATAAAGAAGCAAGTAATAATATTGTGTTTTGCTTTACACATTCTCGTCCATTCTTCTACCAACCTGGTGAAACATTACAGGTATTAAAAACACTCGTTGAAAGAAATGAAAATGGTAAAATTGATATATCAAACAAAACTACGTATTGCTTTGATAGTGAAGCATACCAATATCTTGCAGCTGTCAAAAACAAAAAGCTATTTAAGTTTTCAAAGAAAGTGTATGAAAACAATTTTAAAAGTTGGGAACATTCCGCCAAAGAGGTTATAAGAATGCTCAAATATATCTCCAATTTGAAACCTCATCTAATACAAAGTACCGTCTATCTTGGTAAAACTCGAGAATATTTTCAAAACCTTACCCGTCCTATGGCTGAAATAAGTAAAAACATAGAAACTAATCAAGAAATCTTAAAAAATCTAACTAAAGAAATTCAACAGATAGTTAACACAATTGAAAGTCTTAATAAGAAAAAAACTTTTTCAAAAGTTGAGTTAGAGATAATTGAATTTGATTTTCCGAAAGTTGTGTGTACAAATTATGAATGTAAAAAAAATTCTGAGCAGGGAAACTCAAGGTCAATTAATAACACAACTGTTTGTCATGATTGTGTTCAACTAAAAAGTGCTATATATTCTTCCAACTTAGTTGGTGATGAGACACTTTTACATTGCGATTGTTTTAAGATGTCAAAATGTGTTCAGTGTGGCCACAGCTACATAGAACACATGTTTATTAACTATGATGCTATCGAAGTAAGAAAAGATGTTGAAGACGAGGCAATAGTTAACGATCTCAAAATTAAATTATCAGAAGCTGAAATGAAACGAGAGATGCATTGCTTTAAAAAAAATGAAAATATTGAACTTGAAAAAGAGTTAAATTCTGTAAAAGAATCCGGCGTGAAATGTGCAAACTTTCTCAAACACAATTCTATTACTCCTTACAATGATAAAATGGAGATTTACTTAATGCACTTGATTAATGATGAAAGGGATAAAATTCAGAATGGAGGATGCAAAACAACTTTAAAATCATTAGAAATCCAACTGGAGTCTTGTAAACAACAGATAAAAATATATAACGAACAACTAAACGCATGTGATGCAATTGTGGATGATGAAACGTTTGAGATTTTTTCCATATTGAACACTACAAATTTTCCTCAGAAACAAATGGATTTTTATCAAGAAGTCCCTGTGATTATAGAAACTAGCTCAATGAGCTTTCTTTAATCAAACTGTTCTGTATATTTTTATGTTTACTTATTCTATAGCGAATTTAAAAGTTTTAAATGCAATTTTGAATAAATGACTAAAACTTATTAGACGTTAAAAAAACTCTCTTTTTTTAAACTATTTTTCAGAGTAGCAATTATTTTTATAACATGTCAGTATTTTTAACACTGATAGTATTGAATATTAGATTCATTTGCATATTCTAATGTTTTATTTAGAAATGATAAACGGATAAAGTTGAATTAATCGTTTAAACGGATAAAGTTGAATTAATCGTTTAAACGGATAAAGTTGAATTAATCGTTTAAACGGATAAAGTTGAATTAATCGTTTAAACGGATAAAGTTGAATTAATCGTTTAAACGGATAAAGTTGAATTAATCGTTTAGATCTTGAAGTTGGAAGAAGATATCGCGGAAGTTTTCTGAACATCCCAATGCTAATTTTTTTGAATTGTTTCAATAAATATTTATTTGTTAAAGGTTAAGAAGTTTTCTTGTGTTAATCATAATTCTATCAATGCTTATAATTTCAAAATATTTTTTGTACGTTTTCAAAAACTATTTAATAAAATTATGTAAACCATTCATGCGTATGAAATGTTTAACTTATTCTAGAACAAAATATTTTCATCTCGTTTGGTCAATGCCTAAATTTTATTTAATTTTTCTTTTGAAAAAAAACCTACAAGTAGAACTTTTTTAAAATAAGTTCTACTTGTAGGTTTGTTTTATGTAACACTTTTAAAAGTATAAATCTATGATTTTCTTTGAAACTGATTGAGTTATTTTAGTTGAGTATCATTTGATATAGAACTTTGCATTTGTGGTTTTAACCAAACATTATTGCGAATTTGAATTTTTTATGAATGTCATTTATGCCGGAATTTGCCTTTTTTTCTCAACCTTTTAAAATGTTAACAGCTGTATATTTTTTTTCATTATGTTTTTTGGTAAAGAATTAATATCTATTTCAAGATAAACTAATTGTAAAATATATTTGTTATTTATATATTGGATTATGATTTTAGTCGATTCGATAACGGAACTTCAGAACACAAAATGTGTCAAAACTCACATGTTTGTATATGAACTTGTTTGTATATGAACTTGATAGTTGTCAAGAGCTGGAAAGTTTTCCTGATGTTCCGTAATCGGGTAGACTTACACCATAATGCAAATTGTGCATAGTAAGAATATTTTACCCTTTATTTAACTTTAAAGTTGATGCCACAATCGGTATTTTAAAAATCTGCTATAAATTAGACCTAGAAATGTTTTAGTTTTGAAGACTTGATATCAATGCCCCGACCAATTTACTTAACAGTGAGAATTTTTTTTTATTTACCCTAGAGATACTTGATATATCAACTGACTTAGTATTCAACTTTTTATCACTGTTTTGAAATGTTGTTTAAAACATTTGTTTTTAGTACCTGTTAAAATTATTTTGTGGACACGGCCATTAAAAAGACGTCTTTTAAACGTCTTTTACACGTTTTGGACGTCTTTTGAACGTCTTTTGAACGTTTTGGACGTCTTTTGAACGTTCAAAAGACGTCTTTTTTTGGATCGGTGCCCACTGGAAAGATACTTTACATAGAGTAAGGTTGCCGATATAGTACCGGTGCCTAAATTGCACTTTTGACGTATCGAGTTATTTTTACAACCCTAAAAATATCTTTTGACTAAAAATTTATCTTTGCTATGTTGAACTAATGAATCAATTGTTTTTTTGTGAGATTAAACTAGATTCTGACAACAAATACTTTGAGTTGATATGATGCCAAAGTTTTCTTATTTTTGGGGTTCAATGTTTACAGTATTACTTTAAACATGCCTTTTTTATAATATTTTTGTGAAAGCTCTATTTATGTGAATTCAAAATAACTTCCAAGAAATTAAAATAAATTAGAATTCGTTGTAATTTTGTTATAAACTATAAGTGAGTCTAGTCGCGTAATTTGTACCTCGCTTAAGGACTTAAATTGTACCAAGATTGCCGTTTTAAATTTTGAATATTTGTAACTTTTGTAGATAATAAAGATTTTCTGTTTTGTGTTATTAGTATAATATGCAGTAATATTCATCATTTTCCGAAATTTTAGCTACCGCATTAGTAAGTTACACATTTAGTATAAAAGCTATACCTTATTGATTATAATATGTTTTCAGACTGTTCAAGGAAAGATTTACAGTTTCATAGTTTATTAAATTCAAAACTTTTTTACATTGCTTGATATAGAAAAAGATCTTTACAAAAATCATTCAAAATGTACTGTAAATTATTATAATGTTTGGAAAATCAAGATATATACTTTGTATTTTTTCTATATTTTTGACTTTATTATTAAAGGGTACATTATCGGCAACCTTACCCTAGATTACAAGCGCAAAGTTGCCATAATTAATGAGCGAATACGACTAAAGTATATTTACTTAAGACTTTTTAAAAAGAATTTTTATGAAAAGACTTTTTTGGTACATCATGCCAATTGTTTTTTTATTTTTAATTCAATTTTTTTAATATTGTAAAACTAAGATTTTTTTTTTACAACGTTTGAAAGTATTTGTTAGTTACTTTAAAAACTCTTTTTTTTTAAATTGTCATATTTATAAAAAATTATAATAATTTAAGTGGCAGGTTTTCTTTTTCTATACTCTTATTAAATAACGTATAATGAGTTTTATCTACATTAATTGAGAGATTGTTTGCTTAGAATCAATAATTTAAAACTCTGTAAGTTGATGCTCTGATATATAATGGTGTTCTTTCTAAAATATTTTTTGCTATGCTTGTTTACTTCATTTTGATAAAAACTATTTTCTAATTTTTCTTTAATCACAAAATTTCTATTCTTGCTTCATCCTCTTCTTTTTAAGCAGTTTATCAACTATTATCCTTTGCCATTTAAATGCTCATCGGAAAATATATTTATCATAAAATGTTATACTTTTATTATAATATTAAAGAAATCTGTTATAGAAAAGAAAAAAGATCTGTGGATGGCATTTATTGACCTAAAGAAAGCTTTTGACAGAGTACCAAGAGAGATAGCGAGTTGGGTTTTGTGTATTAGGTGTTGAAGAATAGATGTTGACGATTATCACGGCTATGTATAATAACATTACAGCAGTGATCAAGAAAAAAGATATAGTAAGCGTGTGTCAGGGTACAGTGCCTAATCCTTTGCTTTTTTGAGTTTTGGAAGCTCTCTAAAAAGTTCTATGGGAGCTATTCTATGCAGATGGTTAGTGGCTAATTGCAGAGAAAAAAAGATGAATCAATACTAACAGTTCATTATTGGAATAATAGAAGCAAAGAGGCTTTAAATAGACTAGTCAGTGTACTGAGGTTTGGATAGTACAGAAAAATGATGATCAGATGCTCATAACAGAAAGTCATCTAGATAAACGACTCTATAAGACAAGAAATTAAACTTAAATATTCTTAGAAAGAAATTTGCAACAGTAAGTATATCTTATTAAGAGCGTTAGGGAAGGTTAAGGTTATTTCGGCATGTTAAGATGCAAATAATTGAGTAGTAGCATGTAGAGACTGAAAATTTCAGCAAAGATAACATTTGGTGGTTCGGAAGTTTCAGCAATATTTATTATTTTTTATAAATTTAATAATATCTTTAGTATAATATAAGTTTAAAATAAAAAAGTGAAATTTAACTAGCAAACCAGGGGTGTGGAGTCGTAAAAAAAAAGTACCAGCTTTGACTCTAATTGTGAAGTTTATAGAGTACAACTCCGACTCCGACTCCAACTCTAATTTCGAATATTTATTGTTACAAATTTTTTAAAAAAATTTTAAATTCTTAAAAAAATATAACACAATAATTTGAAAAAATTTTTTTTTAGCCAAATATATGAAAAATTCATTGAAGGTTAAATATTTTGTACATGCACGTGCAATACCGAAAAGCTTTACTATTGGAGTCGTAGTCGCGATTATGTTTAACGACTTTGACCTACTACAAATATGGCGGCTCCGACTCCACAGCTCTCTAGCATATTGAAAGAGATTAATACTTAAGTTTTTAAAAGGTGTCTTTCTTATTCCCTAATTTTTAAATTCAATAAAATTTTTTATTTTGAACGACCAATAATCAGAGATTAAGGGCACAAAGTGTTATTTTTTTAGGGTAGGTCTTGTGTGAACTTTATTCGGACCAATAATTTATAAAGCTTCGTTTTGTTGACAGTTTTTTAGATTTACTATTTCTCCGGATTACTACACCGCATTTTTTTTTTTTAATTTTGAGAACATAAACTTTTTGCGTGAGGCGCATAATTATTCAAAAATAGATATTGTAAAATTTTGGGACAACCAACGCTTATTTTTCAACATTTTCCAAGATTTCACTGTCAGTTTTTCAATTTTTTTTTTTTGATTGAGAACTTTTAGTATGTTATATTTCACTAAGTAACGTATTACAGATAAAAAATTGGGCTGAAAGAAAATATTTGAGGTCGCACAGGAGAAAAATAATATGTCTACTAATGTCGAAAATTACTTGAAACAATGGTAAAAAAACAATTATTTAAGTTCTCATTTTTTCCAATGAGAGACACCCGATCGTGATGGCTCTCAACGATATGAATTACAAATTGTAGCTACTTCAGATCTTTGAATTTGCTTTTGCAATCTCGGATCAGCTTGACTCCTCGTTCAGCGCAGTCATTATCTTCTTCTCAAAACTCGAATACTTTTTAAAATTAGTTATAGTCCTTCATCTTTGCTCAATGTTTAAAAGGTGGCTACAACCAATTCACTTGATTAATTTTCATTTTGAGTAAATTGAACAGAAGCCAGGAATCTTGCCCGATCAGCGACACAAAATCGGGATTTTTATCTTCGATTTGTGGAAATTTTTTTTTTTCAATATTGATTTGTTTGTTTCTTTTAAGCATTCTTTTAAACGTTGTTAAACAATTTCAAAGCTGCGACAGATCGTCAATTGCATGAATAGATTCAAGGTAAAGACAATTAACTGTTGAGTTAAATACCAAAGATGCCTGTTACAAGATCAAAAGGCGGCATCCGCCACATCTCATTGTGCATAATTCCTTCACGATGAAAAGCACCCGGTTTCTTGAACCAAAAAATCTTTTCATCTTGTAATTCTCTGCCAAGACAAACAAATAGCAGCTTAATAAA